TTTACTGTGCATTACAGCCCTACAGATCTTCTATGGGACTATCACTGATCATCTCCGGCCTTGGGGCTGTAAAGCAGTCACAGCCAGGACAGTGAAGACACAAAAGTGGATGTTCTGCTTGTTTGTCTCCTCCCCCCCTCTACTGCCATATTTTGGGGGGGGAGCAGGTACCTGGTTTTGAAAGGTACCCACTCCCACTTCCAGCTCAGTTTGCCACGGCAAAGTGAGCCGGAAGTTTGGCCCCCTCCTTCCTCTTGCAGTCTCCTGCGAACCTTCATAGGTCCCAGAAGACTGATGGACCAATCAGGGTGCACACTACGACTCGCGCATGCGCAGTGTGCACCTAGCTGTGAAACAGCAATCTGTCACAGCCGGGAGCCCACAGTTGTGATGCCGGTGCCAGGGAGAGAAGAAATGGCGTGAGTGAGCACATTGTTGGACAGGTAAGTGTGTGTATATTAAAAGTCAGCACTTACAAAAACTGTAGCTGCTGACTTTTAATAACCACAAAACTGACTGGAACTCCGCTTTAAGCCAGCCACAGTCAGACTGCAATTCAGCCGGATCAGCAGAAACCAGACACATTTCAATCCACGTATGGGCAGGTTGGTTGTACAGAAGTCAGTCGTTTCGACTTCATTACACCCAGCCTGTCTGTTTTTTTCATTCCAATCACTGCTGGCGGCCATATGTATTCTGCTGGTGGGATAGACTCCTCATTCTCCCCACCTGCAGAACACAAAAGTGCAGTGGGAGGGATTCCCCCCTTCCATCAATACGGACTGTGTTGATGGAGGAGTCGAGCAATTTTCTTTCCTTGAACCTGGGGTTGAAGGAAAGAAAGTGGCATGATGTATGGCCAGCCTTACAGTGCTGGATGTAAACAAACACTAGAAGCCATGCTTGTTGCACCAAGATACGTATGCATCTGTGGAGGGGAAGGGTGAGCTGGGATAGGTCAGGGGGGGCAAAAAGGATAATGCACTTCTTTTAAAGTGCACCTATCCTATCAGGTTTGGACTGATGGCCTGCTGTCAGAGAGGAGAAAACACTCCCCGCTGACAATACAGCCCAATTCCTACCGCTGCAGGTCCAAGCCTCAATACTTTTGTGTCGCATAGAATTCATTCTCTTTGGGATCATTGCATATATCACTTCTATATGGCTGCATCCTCTGAAATACATCTGAATAAAACACCAAGTAACACTAGGCAGGTATGTCAGTACAGTGCAATGTAGCCAGGGTTCTAGAGCGGGTTCTCCAGGCGTTCTCTTCCACTTACTCACACAGGCAGGCTATTCAGGGAAATACAGCCCTCCATGCATTAATAGGTCATTCCACCCAAAAGGAATAGTTTCGTTGTAGATGAAATCTGGGGAGCGGAGTTGTCCTCAAAATCTTAGGTCTTGTGAACTCCAACAAGGAGATCTCCCTGTCATCATTTGCCACTTTGCTCCCTTTCCATCCGATATTATTTGTTCTGGCTTCCTCCTCCATAATAAAAAATCCACTGAAGAAAAAAAAAAAATGCATCAGGGATGGTGGGAGCCCCTTTTTTGGCCCTGGTTCACATCTATGCGGGCCGTGTTTTGCACGGGCACGAGAGCCCATTCATTTGAATGGACTCCCGAGCTCCGTGACACGCAGGGAAGAAGTCCCTGCACTTCTTCCGAAAACGCAGCCGAGGTTCCCAGTATGGTTGCGTTTTCCAGTGCGGGCGGCGTGACATTAGAACTAATGGCACCCGCCCGCGGGTCCGCATTCCTCTGTGCGGGTGGTGCGGCTGCACAGATTTTTGTGCAGATCCGCAGCGGCATCACCCGCACAGATGTGAACCTAGCCTTAATGAAAAGAGCAGGTGTGCAGAGCCAGAAACTCACCAACAGAGACCCAGAAAGAAGAGACTGTAATTGGGGGTTAAAGTGTACAAGCCAGTATGAATAAATTCCTGAGAGGTCACAATATACAGCAATAGTGTAACAAAAAAAAAAAAAAAAAGTTCCACCTTTTATCAATAAAAAGCAGTCACTGAGCTCCAGCCAGTGACATTGCCTAGGCTAACATGACATCAGTCTGCTGCAGGCAGCAGGAAACATTTCCTCAGTCTCCTCCTCCCAGTACTCAGATTGCAACTTTATAGCAAGTCACAAGGTGAGCGGTTGCAGCAGTGCCAGACATTTGTGAACACCGCCAACAACTGTACAGATACCAGAGGTTAGATGACAGTGTCATCCCTGAGCCAAAATCTATAGCTGGGTATACACGGTTAAGCCAGCCATAGACTAAGAGGTTTTTCTTTCCTGCAACAACGGGTTGCAGGAAAGAAAATCACTAGATTTCCCCATCACAGTCAGTGTTGATGGGGAATCCTTCCCGTGGAGCTATTGTCTTCTCCTGGCAGGGGATGGGGAGAGCCATCCCCGCTGGAGAACACAGTGTTTGCTGCTAGCGGCTACAATGTCCCTTAGCAATAGTCACACGTAAAATCCGACAGGCTGCTTTGATCGTTCAATCAACTTGGGTACAATCAGCCTGCCCATACATGGTTCGAATCTTGGCCGCTCCCTGCAGAACCGTCCAAGATTCAAATAGTCTCTTGCCAGCTTTAGTTTTTTTTTTTGGCAGCAGACTGAAGGAAAAATTGAAATGGATTTCCACATCCACACAAGCGAGATGGATAAATAAATTCTCCTGCTGCAACAAATGTTTTCTGAAAGCGGGGCCTCCCTCCTGTGGAGCTATTGTATTCTCAGAGTGGGAGGTTCCCCAGCCGTCCGAATACAGTGACCACTGCTGGTTGCTATAGCCGCCAGCAGTGATAGAACAAAACGATTGAGAAATCGACTTCAGTAAAACCAGCCTGCCCATACATTGATCAAAATCTGGCCAGTTCCTGCTGAACCAGACGAATTTCAATCAGTCCATGGCCGGCTTCAAACCTCAGTTTTGGGTGGACTGTCCCTTAAACTTCATAGAAGTGAGGGAGTGGAGCTCTGCTGATATGAACTGGTAGCTAGGAGGAGAAACTGCCATAAATGTTCACACATCTGAATTTGATTTTAGAGACATACTCAGATTCCACGCAGGCTTTAGGCTGCCCTGTAAAAGTTTAAGTGCTCAGGGCCCCTATTTAAAGGATAGGTACCTTGCCATCTCCCTCCCCCATTATATAATAGCCCACCCTGCTCCACTCCAGATGTATACTTATCTGCAGTCCAATCCCTTTACAACATCACTATCCCCCTGTTAAAATCTTTGCAATGGCAGTCCCCATAGACTTCTATGCCTCGGACACCACTGGGCTCATGTAGTGGAGAGGTAAAACGTCTTATATCCAGATGTTGGGTGACTGTACCAAAGGGAGATAGCCTAGGTTTGCCAGCAGATGGTGCTGTGTATGTGTAGCATAGATGGTGAAGCCTGGCAGAGTCTCCAAATTGTCAGAGGTCGGTCATGTTCGGCATCTGACGTTATCAATGCGCAACGTGTTTCTGAGCATGTGCAGGACGAGTGTCGCCTGGCGCGCTCTTTCATCAGACAGGACTTGAGCACACTGATGACGTCAGACGCCAAGCGTGACCAACCTCGGACATCTTGGAGACTGCCAGGCTTCACCTATGCTACGCTACCACAGCACCATCTGCGTTTGAGCATGCGCGGGATGAGCGTCGCCCTGCATGCTTTCATCAGGCAGAGCTTGCGCACATTGATGATGTCAGATGGCGAACGTGACCAACCTTGGACATCTTGGAGACTGCCAGGCTTCACCACCTATGCTACACATACACAGCACCATCTGCTGGTGGACCTAGGCTATCTCCTCCTGGTACAGTCATCCAGCATCTGGCTATAAGACGTTTTACCTCTCCACTACATGACTGTTCTTCATTTCTAAGATGTGAGTTACTACTTATCTTCTTATTAAATACTATTCCAGTATTAACTCCAAATCTGCAGTTGTTGCCGGAGGATAATATTGTGGGAGGTCACAACCAAGAGATTTAGGTAAGCAAACATCTGAAGTGGAGGAGGGGGGAGTTATCTTAGTTCGGGATAGTAAAATAGGCAAGTGCATTTTCTGTGAACGTGAACTTATCCTTTAAGTCGTGGAAGTTTCTTTTTCATGGAGAACCCCTCTATTGCTTTTATATAATAGATAAGCATCATGTAAGGTACAAGAACCAAAGTAGAATTCAGCTAGTACTCACACTTCCAGAACTGAAATCTGACTGGCTTCTGTCAATAACCACTCATCATTGCTTTTTGACTTGGTTATTAAATGGTCAATCCCCTTCCAGGTGAAATGTGGTTGGAATCGCTCGCTGGTGTTTCACAAGTCTTGGGAACACATTATGATAAGTGCTCTGTATTGGAGTTCCCATCTGCGCCCAGCTACTACAGCCACATTAAAAGGGGACTCATTCTGCTGGATTCAGCCCATGGTCTTATTTTGCTTCAGAAGGCTATAGGCAGAGTTGGGAACTCCAGTAGAGATCTTTTCCTGCTGAACCCTGAGAGATATTAGAGGTCCAGGGGCGATTCAAACCAGCGGACATATGTGAAATATCAGTTTTGGGTTGACTTGACCTCTCATAAAGCTCCTGTGTACTTTGCAGTCAGACTAAAATAACGGCCCCCTCCTGCTAGAGACTCTCTCCCATTTCTGGCATGAAAGGGAGATTTGTATTTTTATATTCAGAGCCCTTTGGCTGTAGCAATATTGCTATGGCAGTCTGGAAATAGGCAGAATGAAGGCCCGGTAAGAGCAGTGTGTGCTTGGTGAAGCAGCGGGTGGGATAAGAGGTCGCCCCCAGCCCCGCTGGATGTACTCGCCTTAGGGGAACTCAAGGATTATGGGAATGTTAGGCATAGGGCTGGACAGTATACTCCACACCCCATCTGTGTCATCCAGTCGCCTCTGTTGCTGAACAGACATAATGTCCCAGTTTTGTTAGAAGCCCATATTGTTAACGAACGCCCTTGTGTCATCCGGCTGGCATCACATCAAGTACCAAGCGACGGTGGCAGCGATGGCGACAGCAAAGGCAGCTAAAATGGCTTTGACTTCAGGGCGACTTGCGAGGGCCAGCGCAGTGTGAAATGGACAGCCCGATGCTCCGGTGGCTGCTGAAGAAGAAAGAGAGAGACAGAGGTCTATGCGTCAAGGGAAATATATAGTAAATCTAAAAACTGCAAATGGATTTTATGTAGTCAGCCAAAAGTACAGTGCATCAAACAACCATTAAATTCTGTTCTCACACTCCAGTGACATTGCCTAGGCTAACATGACAACAGTCTGCTGCAGACAGCAGGAAACATTTCCTCAGTCTCCTCTTCCCAGTACTCAGATTGCAACTTTATAGCAAGTCACAAGGTGAGAGGTTGCAGCAGTGCCAGACATTTGTGAACACCGCCAACCACTGTTCAGACACCAGAGAATACACGATGGTGTCATCCTTGAGCCAAAATCTAAAGCTGGGTATACACGGCTAAAATAGGCAGAATGAAGGCCTGGTAACAGCAGTAGTGGGCTTGGTGAAGCAGCAGAGGGGATAAGAGGTCGTGCCCAGCTCCACTGGATGTACTCTCCTTAGGGGAACTCAAGGATTATGGGAACGTAAGGCATAGGGCTGGACACTCCCCCGCCCCATCTCAGCGATGCTGATCTCTGGCAGCCTCTTTCAGTCACTTCCGTCTACCAGCACTCACTCCAGGGTCAGCTGCATATCACTGCTCTGAGCTAGCTTTCTTATGGTGACAACGGTGGGCCATGTCTGTGCAATGTGTGTTGGCGTGGTCATAAGTCCCAACCACTGTCGTGTGCAACAAGGTTACGATGCAAAAGCACAGATGGAAGGGTTGTCCCCCCATAAAAGGAAGTGCCTAAACAAGGGCCTTTATGGCAGGATCAGCAGCTATTCTTTTAATAAAAACTGCAGATAAAAAACAACCTCAAAAGATATGAATTTGTTAGCTATTGTATGAGATTTTAGTGATTGGGTTTAAACTGGTTATCCTTCGCTCTCCCCCATGTCTCACTCTCCTTTTAGTTCTTAAATACTGGTCCTCATGGTTTTAGAATATGTTTGGATGCTGGGTATACCTTGATGCCCCCTGAGGTAGGTGATGCCATGTGCCATGACTGCCAATCACACATTAAAGTGTTACTAAACCCACAACAGTACAATCAGTCTCTATATGCAGTAAAGCATGCTTGTTATACTCACTGTGGAACCTAAGGGGTTAATCCTCTGCATTGTGTAAAAAGGAAGTCTCATCCTGTCTTCTCTGATCCTCCCCTTCTTCCAGTGTTCCCCTCTTAACTCCCGATAAGACATATCGTGTGGAGACACTCTGCACATGATCACTTTGTTGTGTATTGCTAGAGAGGTTTTTTTCTGTTGGGAGAGTGCATGTGCGGGGTCCGGGGAGAGCGGATACAGCGAATGCGGGGTCCGGGGAGAGCGGATACAGCGAATGCGGGGTCCGGGGAGAGCGGATACAGCGAATGCGGGGTCCGGGGAGAGCGGATACAGCGAATGCGGGGTCCGGGGAGAGCGGATACAGCGAATGCGGGGTCCGGGGAGAGCGGATACAGCGAATGCGGGGTCCGGGGAGAGCGGATACAGCGAATGCGGGGTCCGGGGAGAGCGGATACAGCGAATGCGGGGTCCGGGGAGAGCGGATACAGCGAATGCGGGGTCCGGGGAGAGCGGATACAGCGAATGCGGGGTCCGGGGGAGAGAGAGCGGATACAGCGAATGCGGGGTCCGGGGAGAGCGGATACAGCGAATGCGGGGTCCGGGGAGAGCGGATACAGCGAATGCGGGGTCCGGGGAGAGCGGATACAGCGAATGCGGGGTCCGGGGAGAGCGGATACAGCGAATGCGGGGTCCGGGGAGAGCGGATACAGCGAATGCGGGGTCCGGGGAGAGCGGATACAGCGAATGCGGGGTCCGGGGAGAGCGGATACAGCGAATGCGGGGTCCGGGGAGAGCGGATACAGCGAATGCGGGGTCCGGGGAGAGCGGATACAGCGAATGCGGGGTCCGGGGAGAGAGCGGATACAGCGAATGCGGGGTCCGGGGAGAGCGGATACAGCGAATGCGGGGTCCGGGGAGAGCGGATACAGCGAATGCAGGGTCCGGGGAGAGCGGATACAGCGAATGCGGGGTCCGGGGAGACCGGATATAGCGAATGCAGGGTCCTGGGTTTAGTAACACTCTAATGTAATTTTTTTAGGGTTGCTTTTCTCACTGTGACTAAAGCTGATAGGTTGCTATACACAATTGTTATCATTTGTCCAATAAAGGGGACCCCATGTAGGCCTAAAATGTTGAAAATTGCATCACTTAGTGGCTGTAAAGTCCTACTGGGAAGCTCACTAGTGTGCTGATGACATCCCCGCAGAGGTGGAAGCGGTGGCACATTGCTGTACATAGTGATGTTAAATGAATATTCTCAGAAAGCTCACCTTCTTTAGCAGCATAATAGGGGCACTTGCGGATATCTCCCTTCCCCTCATGCAATGGGAGACCAGCACCCTGAGGCTCATCGGGAATTGTAGCTCCTATTTTATCCAGCTCATCAAACACCTGTGGAATACAAGGAACAGGAAAGCCAGGAGTAGATTAATAAATCCACATATCCACAAACACAAGCCTGTTTTCCACCTGTAGAGACCTCCTCAGATGTGTTTCACCCTTTTTTGGGACTTAATTATAGAGGCCTCTGCAATTAAACCCTGAAAAAAGCAAAAGTATCTGAGGTCTCTACAGGTGGAAAACAGAAGCTGAAGCCCCCTTTTACCCATCTCATTCAAGGAGTCTGTGTCTGTGGGCAGAGAGACACCAATTTGTTGAAGTCTACGGAGATCTCTTAGCCATAGTTCCTACCTAAATAGGAAGTATGGGTGCTACGAATGAATATGGGGTATACACAACTTCTCCTGCTGCATTCTCTAATTTGTGGTTATTTAACATAGATCTTAAGTGTGTACAAGGCTTTAAAAGGTGTTAAATGTACAGCACTCACTTCCATATTGAACCGGAAGGCACGGTTAGCCTCCTCTACGATGCTCTCCTTGGCCTCACTCTCCAGGTCCAGTGTGTTCAGTCGGGCCCTATACAGCTGCTTGAACTGCTGGGCATTAGTGACATTATCAAACATGTAGAACTGGACACCCTGCCCATCACTGGGGAGATGCAGAGCTCTCTGAGCCACCTTCTTCAAGATCTGTCCTCCTGACAGGTCCCCCATGTAGCGGGTGTAGGCATGAGCCACCAGAAGCTCCGGTTGGTGAAGACCCAGATGATGGATCTGCTCAACATAGGCTTTAGTAGCATCCGAGCACTGAATGGCCTCTTCCCAGTTGTCTCCATAAAAATAGAGAAGATCCTTCTTCAGAGCCTCAGCCCGGTGAAGCTCCTGTGGGAAATATAGCGGGGCGATGGCTGGGTGTTCTTTATTCCGGTCTAGTTCCTCCTCCAGAGCGGAGTATGTATAGAAGAGCGCGGCGGTGGCCAGCTGTGTATGACAGAAACACCTTTTACAGCTTGGTTTTCCAAAATAATTTAGCAGAAGAATACATAAATTATATACGTAAATTATATCGGGGATAGTTAGGACAAGAAGCAGCTTAGAATAATAAACAAGGATACAATTCAAGATATCCCTTTTGTTTTTAATCTAAAAGTAAAAAACAAGACATTTAAAAAAAGGGAACTTTACAAAGAAAAAAGGTAAAAGCCTCCGATAATTCTTACACATAGCTCTGGTTGTCAGTTTCTAAATTAAGAGCTTGAAAAACGTGAATTCTACCTGTTGCCTTAACCCCTTCCAGTCTGGACACTTTCACCCCCTTCTTGTCCAGGCCAGCTTTCAGCGCTATCACACTTTGAATGACAATTGCGCGGTCATGCAACACTGTACCTTAATGAATTTTTTAGCATTTGTTTGAGACAGATAAAGCTTTATTTTGGTTGTATTTATTCACCACTGGGATTTTTTTTTTTTGCTATATAAATTATAAAAGTCCAAACATTTTGAAAAAAAATGTTTTTTTTTTTCAAAATGTTTTTCTTATAAAATTTTGCAAATAAATAATCTTTCTTCATAAATCTTGGCCAAAATGTATTCAGCTATCTTTTTAGTAAAAAAAAAAAAAAAACCCAAATTAGTTTATAACCAAAAATTATAATTTTTCAAACTTTTTTATATTATTTGTTTTTTTTTAGTAACATACTGTCACCCTAGCAGTACACTGTCACCACTGTACTACTTGTGGGGGGTGATGAAGATTTTTTTTTTTTTACACCAATTGCTTTTACCCCAATAAAGACTGTAAAAGCAATCATTCTTCTTTCTTTCTGGCTGCATTCTTGCAACCATTGAGAAATACTGTGAGAGCTGTGATTGGTCATAGCTTGTCACATGGTACAAGACTGTTGAGAATAGCCTTGTACCATGTGACCTCTGTGATCACAGGTAGTAAGCAATGTTAGAAGTGACATCTTTCCTACTACTATTCATGTGATCACTGATTGGCCAATCAGTGATCACATGATCGGGACCTCACACAGAGGTCCTTTACAGCAATCGGTGTTCAGCTGTGTCCGGATGACACAGCGGGCACCGGATCGTGGTGCCGCGCGCTCCCAGGGAGCACGCACAGGCAGGGAAGCAGGACGTTTATAAACGGCCACCTGCTCCCGCACAGCTCCCATCCAGCCGTTTATGTACATGGGTCGGACGGGAAGTGGTTAAAATGTTCCCTCCAACACCTTGAGTAGCAGCCACCTAAAAGTGGTTGTAAAACACAAACATGAAATATGAACAAAGCATATCCCTCTATAGTGTGTACTTGTCTCAATTAAGAGCACCAAGTGTCATTTCCGTCTGTTGTTTCGTTCCTCTGCTATCAGTATGAATCGCTTCTGACAAGTTTTCCTGACACCAAGAGAAAAATGGTGACAGGGGAGGGAGCTCCAGCATAAGCCTGTGATTGACAGCCTCAGCTCTGTGCCTGTGTAAAGGGGGTGTGCCCCTTCTAATCACCTCTCACTGAGCTCTGTAGTGTGTAATTTCTGCTCTCTACCCACTGCTTTCTGAGAGCTCAGATAAGCTTTATAAAAATTCAGCACTTGAAACCGATGTAGAGAAGGAGAAGACTGCAGATAAACAAGTACAACATTTGTAGGAAGATTAGTTTAATCTCCGTGTATCACCTGAGGCTGGTCACTTCACTGGGTATATGTAAAGGTTTACAACCACTTTAATACTTTCCATCAGCCTTGTCCCTTGCAGCAAAGTAATTGCAGAAAAAAAGTCCAAGTCACATTTAGCTATTATTGCACATGGCACTGCTTGGCCCATTCATTCCTATGGCTGGCCCAGACAACCAAAGGAGCTCAAATTCAGAAATAGGGTAAGAACATGTCCGTAACATTCTACAAAGTCTGTACAGCAGTGGGCAAGGCAAGAAGCAAGAATCTCCAAAGTGGGGGGGGGGAGGCTGCCCCCTCGGTGGGGTAGGCGGCTTTCAGACAACCCCACAAAAACAGAAGCTGTTCTTTAATCAGCTGAGGGCAGAGGACATGAGAGGACATGACTTGTACACCCTGACCTGCTGCCCCCTCTGCCATTCCCTCCCCTTCTCCCCCTTGGACTTGCCAGTGAAAGCTATGTAAATACGGCAGCTGTAATAGCTGCTGCCAAAAAAACAGACCTTTTGTCCTATTCAGACAAGGGACAGAGATAGGGAGATAGAAAGTATCATTGTTAGTTTTGTGTTTAGTCTGTTTCAAGCATCTGCAGATCAAAAAGGGATGAGCTTCAATCTTCAATGATGTGAGTTAAAGAAACCGAACCCAAAAAAAAAAAAAAAAAAAAATGTATTTTTTCTTCTGAATAAAATATGTTCCCATTTAATCCCTGATTAACCCTTCGTTTACCCCATGTAACCCTGAAAGTAGGGTTAAAGTCAAATGTTTTCCTAAATAAGGTAGAAATTAATACAACTTACAAGCAATTGAATTTTTTTAAATGTTCTCCTTTTTCAATTAATCTTAGAGTCAGCGCTAAAAGGTCAATCTCCTCTGAAAGGACATTCAGCCCGGGTTCACACTTCTGTGGTGCGGTATATCGCATGGGATTCGCACAGGAACCGCACCGCATTCCTGTGCAAATCACATGCGTTTGTATACATTTCTACGGCTCTAATCGCACCAAAAAACGTGCAGGACCCTTTTTTGGGTCCGCACTAGAGTTGCATTGCATAGCTACTCACACCTATTAGATCCTATTGTGCACATCGCACTGCATGTTGCGGATCGCTTTCGGTTTGTTGTTAACTTAACATAAACACCCGCAGTGGTTCGCATGAATGGGGTGTGATTCTGATGCGGATCGGAATTCGCACTGAAAACGCTGAACCCGGGCTGAAAGGGACATCGGATTTTTAGCGCAGACTCTGAGATTGATATATTTTTCTGCCGCGGTGGCAGAGGTTTTCAGCAGCTGTAGTTATTTGGGAAACCCTACCTCTACCGCACTGATATTCAATAATTATCCTTTTGCATGAGCCATTATGTTCCTGTTCTCTGTGTGCCGCCAAGGCCTATGGAATTCTATGAGAGTATCTACAACCAGGGCTGAAACTAGGAGGGGGAGCCCCATGTACCCCAGGCCCTGCATTGAGAGGGGCACCCGCCTTCCCCATGCTCCTCCATGGGTACGTGCAGCCTCCCGGTCACCAGAGCTGAATCGAGCATAAGGCTACTTAGGCTCCGTGTGAAAGAATGTCTAGTTTCGCCATTGTCTACAACATGTGCACTCCGGTTCTGTACTACAACTCTACGTACAGCTGTCCAGAGCGCCACACGCAGCCAGCAAGAGGGACACAGAGCAAAAGTCACATGTCTCCTCCTTCACAGTGGTGACCGACAGCGGTTCTGTGTCCTTCATTGGCTCTGGTTGTGTGTGCAATGCTCTGAGTGGTAGTAGCGGGAGGATACACATTGCGGAGATTCACACAGGACTTCACAGGTCCCAGAGACACAGAGAGAATGGAAATTTAGCGGCATGGGCAGGAGAAATCTTAAAAAAAAAAAAAAAAAAAAAAAAAAAAAAAAAAGAAAGGAACCCCAGGAAAGGAAGTTAAAAAAGAAAAGAAAAAAAGTTACCGGAATTCAGAAACATTTTTACTTTATCTTTAAGTAATGGCAACGTTTTTGTCAATTAACCGCTTCCACACCACCCTATAGCAGAAATACTGCAACGTGGCGGTACGGGTGTGCAAAATCACATATATATAGCACCAACCTTAAACAGTTCCCTCTTGATCCGCCCCTTCAGAAAGTCCTTCACAAACTTGGTATTTTCAGCCTTCTCGTGAGATTCCTTGGTGCCCTCTTTCAGGAGCTCTGACAGGTCGGTGGGTCTGGGTGGGAGCAACAACAATGTTCAAGAATCAAACAGAGGTGTCAAGCACACTACACTGATGTACTAGATATTATGTTCCGACACACTTTTCTCGCTGTATACTGATCCTGTAAGAAGAAGCGAATAAGGGGACATATGATCACTATGTATAAATTGTCTATATAATAAACATCATGCAAAGTTGTCCACTTTAAAAGCGGAGCTTCTCCACCCAAAACAGGAAGTTCCGCTGTAAAACTTTGTCCCCCCGCTCCTGATTAAGGATCGGCACCTTTGGGAGCAAGGGGGGGGGGGGGGTACCCGAATTTGACAGGTACCCGCTCCCACTTCCGCTGAGATCACCTAGGCAATGACACATGACATGGTCCCAGAAGACTACGGGGCCATTTACAAAGTTCAGCACTTCTCGCACATGCGTAGTGGGCATGTGAAGCCGCAAGCTGTCACAGCCGGGTTCCCACACACTGATGATGCTGTTGTGGGCTTTTGAATCATGTCTCAAGAATATGACTTTTATCAAGACATAATATTATATGGCAAACAGCTCAGCAATAGCCGGATGCTAAGAGTTAATTTTGTCTTGGTTGAACCATCTAGCTAGAGAAATGTAATGGGTAAAGGGATTGTTTTTCTTTCCTCCTAGAGACAATACTATTTTAAAGTTCTCAGGTGATCAAACACCATTATTCAGACTTCAATAAGCAGGTAAACATATACAAGGTCTGGACATGACAATAGAGGAACCAAACTGATTGTCTGAGAGCTTAACCAAAACCTGTAGAGTGTGATGAACCAACAGACCTCTGAAACTATTACTATCTACTATTGTTCACCAAGGTGAGTGAAAGCATTAACAATTGTTTACCATGAGCCAAATACAAGGGCTAGGCAAACAGAGATTTTTTTTCCCTACACAGAGGGAATGTTGATGCTGAAACAAAGGGGAAATTCAGGACATTTAAGTCAAAAAGTTCACTGTATATCATTACAAAAATGTATTACAAAAACAGATTATAAATAAGATGTCATAGACTTTAAACACCACTAAATACTCAGCAATGGGAACTATATATCACTAACTTGAGTATTGAGATGATGGGAAGTAAGATGTATTATAAACTAGCATTAGTTACATGTCTTATCAGGAAACAAACAGGATGATACTTCAAGGAGGAATAACCGAATATACACCTATATTCCATGGTCCCTATTTAGAATATCATAGGTATGATCACTGCTATATCTGGAAAGTGCTGTATATTTTATTCCTGAAATTACCTGAAGATTCCACCCAAGATATGAGTCATATCAAATACTCACATTGTTCTGTGATACATGACCGCCACCTGGCGGGCAGGTGAGAAATAGCTTATGTACACACATTTCTCAACTAGCCAATCAGGAAGCCTGGTGGGAAGGTATCTTAGAACAATGGACTAGTGGATATAAAAAGCCCATGTGCTGTAACAGAGAAAAAAAAAAACCTCATGAAAAAGAAGAACCCTCATAAGACCTCATGGAAAGACCTGACATCTGAAGAAGATCTCTGCTGAAATAATTACTCTTCCATCTTTCAAACTTCCTAAAACTTAAACCTCTAATCTTATAAACACTTCCTACATTCTCCCCTATTGAATCTATCACTTGCCTATATATCAGTCTAAAGGCGTTCCACTGCCAGCTAAATCCACGGAGAGTTGCCTATCTGACGTCCCGGGTGTGGTGAGATGTTTATTTGATGTTGTATTAATTATTTCCTCTGTTGTGTAGAATCATAAAAATTACCGAAGTGTATTACAACAATATTGGGTAGTTAGATATATGTAGTCAGATACTGTGTTACTGTTAAAAATTGTTTTATTGCCATATTATTAACTAAATTTTTCCATATTTCATAATTTATTGAATATTAATAACCAGAGTATCACATATCAAGGGCTTACTTCTTGCAGGCCTATGGCCACGGCGTGTAAGAATATAACCTTTGAGATATTCGAAATTATTAATTATTAATAAATTTAATAATATCATATTCATTTAATTTTGTTGTGATTGATGTAATTAGTTAAGACATTATTAGTGTGTCATTACATTGGTAGGATATATTTTTGATTGTGTGTAACCAATATTCATTTATATCACCAGTCTTTTTAGTGTTTTGTGTTAATATATATATATTTTTGTACATAAATAAATTTTTTATATTTATCTATTATAAGGCAAATTTTGTGTGTATATGTACGAAATCATATTGGCTAAAAGAATTCAAGGTATAATAATAAGTGGTGATCAAATTATCAAGGTGTCCAAATTATTGGTTTACTAAATATTTGCCGTATTTTAAAAACGGCTGGAGGCACTGTAATATTTCATCTAAGGGAAAGGGACACCCCCTTTATAAATAATATATATCCTTACATAAACCACCACAACATAAATTTGGAGGCACTGCTGAAGCCATAGAAATCGTACCATAACACAAAACGCACTGGTGATTGTATATTTGTACACGTTATCAAACATATATATTTTGTATCAAAATGGCATCCAGTAATCACGGATCCACCTCTTCCAAGCATAACGAGGAAAATATGGCGGCCCAAGGTATTGAGGAAAAGAAACTCTGAAGCCAGCCCGGAAAGCTGCCGGTGGTGCTTGGCAGAATTATGTTGAATGTGGAGTAATAGATTATCTCCGCAAGAGATTGAATTTGGGGGATAGCAATAATGAATTTGTGGATGAAGAGAAGACAGGCCATGAATACCTTTGAGGACCTGTTCAACCAAAAGGGCCAGGTTGTTGGGTTTTTACATAGCATTTGCTGGAGCAGAAAGTGATAGAAGCCGTGACAGAACTTCTCCTAAAGCTTGGCCCATTTTATGGTTCATGACCGCTGGAGCTGCCCAGCAGACCAGTGACTCTAAGGGAAGAGTTGTCAGAGGCCCGCCTCTTGTTAGAAAGCAAAAATCAGGACATTGAGTCTTTGAAAAGGGAAGCTTTGGTCATGCCGGTGTTCGTTTAGACAATCCGAGAAACATTATGATAGATTGGTCGGAGACTTTCGAAGTGCTCAGGACCTATATGAAAGAAACTTTCAGGAATTAAAAACAACTTCAAAAGAAGTATCAGGACTTAAAAGATGAGGTGGAGTACTTCAGATCAGAGAGGTTATCTCCTGTCAAAATTAAAGTTCACCCAGGGGATAAGCATGACCAGTCAGAACTTACCTTGATAAAATCTGAGCAGAAAACTCTGGAGGAGCAGATTATAAGGTTGACGGCCCAAATAAATTCTGGGGTCCAAAGACGGACCAACCCCAGTCAAGCCAGAGGCTGATGAGCGGAGATACCCGCATCACAGCGAAGTATCTGATAGTGAGTCAGGGTCAGAATATAGTCACCTCCTAAGCTTTCAAGATACACTCCAGAGCGCTCTCGAAGAAAAGATATGAGGTTTCATATAGGCAGGAAGGGAAATCCCAGGGGTCATTCAGGAGATATGACACCCCAAAGGTCATTAAGTTCCTGAAGGACACACTGTTCCTATGTTTTCTAAGAAAGGGTTCCCTTGAAATCACCGAACACATGAAAACATATGAACAGACGTTAGAGATTCTGGGCATTAGAGATGACCACACCAAAATAGAATTGCTGCCATGGGTGTTTGAGGAGAAATACCGGCAATTCTTTTGAGACCTTGGAGGGCCTATTCCAATCAGTCCTGGAGAGAGGTTAAACATAAGTGCCACATGGAAATTTGGGCCTTATAAAACTGTAACCTCTGCCAAGGCTGCGCCCTACAATTTAAAGTGTGGTCCTCACCAAAGCCCTGCAGAATTTCTGGCTGTCCTCAGAAATGCCTATTTCCCTGGCTTGAAAAGGATCCCAATCCTAACCAGCCTAATTCAAGACACTATTCTATGAAGCATTACCTGCTTACATAAAAATTGGGACTTGCAAAGGATTACAGAAAGGGATGCTCTCTTGATTGGTTGGTGAGAGAGAGTGAGACTATTTATTCTCGATCCAACAGTCCAGTGAGGGCGGGATAGGGAAAAGAGAACCTAAAAATAGCCCCAAGATAGTAGCAGCCACTACCGTTTTTCCCCTCCAAAATCCAAATGTGCAGGCAGAGAAGAAATCATATGCGGAAGTAGTCCGTGGGGGTAAAACCAATGGTTCCCCTAGATTTGCACCTCAAACCCAGCAAGTGAAGGAGGTCCATAACTTTAGCACCCCAAAACCAGTGGGTGAGAAAGGATAGGCAAAAGCCAGGGAACTACGGGGATAGTGGAAGTGAGAAGAATAAAAAGTATGGTAAGGGCCAGTACAGTCAGATGAAAATCAAAGGAGGCAATGGTATCCTCAGAGGTTCTATTATCCTCGCCAAAACCAACATGGGAATTTTTATGGGAACCCCCAATTTCAACAGGAACCAAATTACAATAAGAATCCCAATTTTAATAAAAAAAAACTCCGATTTCCAAAGATTTCCCTCCACGCCAAGAACACCCTCAGGCTCAAAGGGGGGATACAGTACCCCAGGCTCCCTTAATAACAGGGAGACCCCAAAACCTCAGAGAGAACAATGGCGTCGGGACCAGAGCAGTTTCTGACTCTGAGTCTCATTTACCAGTCTCGTCCAAAATACAAGCGCAAATATATAGGAAAAGGGAGAATCAACAGAATGACTCCTCTGAGCGTATTGGACAAATAGAGGCACAGGTCAGCAAAATGGCTGAACAAATGGACAGGCTTGTCACTCAATTTCCATCCAATCCTTTTTTAGGAGCACTCCTGTGACCAACCAAGGGTCACAGAATTAACAGGCAACCCAAGCCTTAAACCAACAGGGGAGGACACGGAGTCAAATGACAGGAGATGTGTGCCCCCGTCCCCGAATGCTGACACGCCTACTAAGGAGAAGCTAGTTCTCAAAGGGGGACCAGTTTGTTGGTTATTAATGATTCCTCCTGTTTTTCAGTGTCCATCTATTGCCCC